GTATATATTTATATATATATATATATTATTTGATGTGTTGATGTGTAGACATGTAAAATAGGGCTTGCGTTTTCTGTTAAAATTACTTCTCGGATTATAAAGAATGATATAAAATGTTAAATTAAACCGAACACACCGAAAATTTAACCAAACACACCGAATTAAAGCTGAATGAGCCGTTTGTTGATATGACTACAAGGAGCTATATAAGAAATTAAATATCAATGTGACAGTCTAGAATACCAGTTGGTCCTCCTACCATATAGATCTTTAAGTTATGATTATCGTTTAGAGATTTTTAAATTGATTATAATGAGAAACAAAAGAAAACGAGCAAATATGCGTCAACTCATTTTAACGAGATATTTTCTATTTTATTTTCAGATCGTAAGTTCCTAGTTGCCAATGCTCAAGTGGAGAATTATCCGATAATTTTCTGTAATGATGGTTTTTGCGAGATGGTGGGATGGAGTCGGGCTGAAATCATGCAGCGGTCGTGCATCTGCGAGTTCCTACATGGTCCCCTTACCAGTTCAGTGGCTGTCTCACAAATCAAAGAGTGCCTCTCTTCTTGTCACGAAAAACAACTCGAGATCTTATATTACAGGAAAGATGGTATGTTTATAATATTTTATGAAAACATTTCATTTCATCCAACAAAGGATAGGGTATACTTTGTGCTATGTGGACTAAAGTTAAAAAAAGCAACGTGAATAATACATAAGTTAAAGTACTTTAATGGACATACTATAGTTTCAGTTCTATAAACAAGTGTCCAGATGTCAAATGAAGGTAGAGAAAGTAAACACGTGAGACGAAATTTAGCCAATAGGGGAAGAGGAACAAGTTTGAACAAGAAAATGAATAAGGATGATTAGAAACAAGTGTGAGGGGATTTGGTGGTGACCCCAAGGTATTTCCAATATTTGGAAGTGGGGGCGGTATTTGGCGGTATTTTCCTCCATATCCCTTCATACGTGTTTCTTATCTCCGTTTTTATTTTTTTCCAAATTGCTCTTCTTATTGGTTTATTTAACGCGTGATTCCTTTCGCGAAAATAATTTGGTGTTTAAACACTATGAATGTTCTTGTTTATAGAACTGAAACTATAGTATGCCCATCTATATACTTTAATTTCTGTCTTACTTGCGTTTTTTTTTTCTTTAGACATTTCAATTTATTTTGATCTTATTTTCTTTTTTACCACATTTTGCTAAATACAAACATTAAATGGTGATATAAAAAGTGATTATAGCTTATCCAACGTATGAGACCTCTGATAGAATACCATTCCAGTAAAAAAGAATAAAATTCGTTTAAAATTATTATAAGGTATGTTTTAACCGATGCAATATCGATAATGAACCTGATCCAGGTTCATAATCTAGTGAAAAAGCAGTACCACAGGACATCCATCCGTAAAACTAACCGAAATAGATGAGAGGACGCAAAAGTGAGGGAGGAATCCTTCATGACAATTTCTCTTTCTTTTACATAAGTAATTAGATATTTGAAGTGTAGGTAAAGGGAATTCATGTAAACTAAGAGTAAACCATTGTGGAGGTTTCAGTTCAGTTTTGTAGAAGAATTGGCGGTAGAGGTAGTGATTTTCTGTTATACATTACAGTAGTAGTGAAAAAAGATAAGTTCAGAGATTTCGAAACGAAAACTAGATTTATTACCAGGTATTTTTTAAGTTGAACTAAATATAGTCATATAAAAAAATAGTAAGCACCTCCCTTAGGGACGAAGAGATGCATCTTAACATGATGCTTTTTTTAAATTATTAACAGTCGAACTGTGGGGCTATGGGGCATCCAAGACTTCCCAGTCCTGATACAAAGAATTTTAAATTACCAGTGAATGAATAGTTACCAATGGACACTTAGGAGAATGGGAAGATATCGAAAGTTGTCGAGTTATCGATGGACAATATAGCAAAAACAAAGCCAACCTGGCGTTATTAATTTTTAATTATAAATATTCTGGCTACAGCTTAGTCACAGAAAGGATCGCGAGAATTTAATATAACCCAGAAACTGAAACATTTTTGAGGTTGGAGAAGTAAAACAGCTTATGAGGGTGCCATACCACGAGAGAAACTTTTCGTCCCAAATTCTCTTTCATATCCATTATTAATTTAAAGTTTAAAGTATGGGAAAAAAGAGAGTTCAGGCAAGCGTTGATTGAGTCATGAAGTTTCAATTGCTGAAAAAAATTTCAAAATATCATAATGCAAAAAAATTATTGCAAGATAAGTTCTCCATTAAGTAATTAAAAGTTATCTTCACATAATTAATTTTCATTCGGACATTTTAAAAATTTCTTTTCAGTATTTAAACCTCACGGCTTGCTCTAGGTTTGTCCGAACTAACTTTTTTTTCAATACTTTAAATTTTAAAATAGTTACTGATGGGAAAGACAATTGGCAAAAACAGAATTATTTTCTTACTTTAAGATCAATTTTAAAACTTAGCTTTTACGTTTTTTTTAACCTTGCTTTAGCATTGTAAATTGAGTAGTAAAAATGTATTTCGTCAATTTGTAAGAGATTTTATTTTTTTATAATAGAAAAATTTTTCAGAAAAAGTATAGATTTTCTCATTTATCAAACGCAATTTAAGAGAAATTTAAAGAAATAATCTACCGATAAAATTAAAGCATAATTACGTACTCACCTCACGTTAAGTAACCTTGAATAAGTATTTTGTGAATTATTTTCTCGCAGTTTAGTATTTTTTCCCCATAATTAAACACTGAAACACCAAATGGCTCTGCTGCATTAAATTACACGAAAAATAGCTTCACATTTTGAGAACACGCACTAGAAATTATGCACTTGGGAATTTATGCATAGCACCTTGAGTATCAACGTTCAGATAATTATAAATTAGCATTAGTGTAGACTATATTAGCATTGTTGTTTTTTTATTGATTTTTCTTTGCATAACCTTGGACAATTTATTGTTAAGTTCATCGAATATTAAACAAAATATTATAGTGATCTGTTTTCTTCTCTCCGTAATTTAAAACTGGATTTTATGGAAAAAATGGATTTTACGGTGAAAATGGATTTTACGGCAGAAATAGATTTTACGGATGATACACACAAAGTGCCGATGTTTTATATCGTAATTTGATCCGGAATTTTTTTACAGTGTATTCAAGTCGAAATATTTTAAAAACGTTTTTATTTTCTTGGAGAAAACAAAAACAGTATATAATATTTTGATGTACTTTAACTATCATTTTGAGTTAGATGCAAATATCACTTCAGAGTTATATCACGTTTCAACGAGGCTTCTGGGATGCGGGTAATTGCTTCCAGAACATTTGGATTGAGTTGTATCTTGGCTGAGGGGTCTCTGCCATTTCAATACAAATGAATTACTTAGAAGGGCAATTTCAGTGAAAGATTATGTCAAAACTGTCGCCGCAGACGACAACTATTTGAATCGGCAGTTTGGTCTTGTTATAAATGCAGTTTACATGGAGGAACACGTAAAATTAACTATGCAGAAATGATTTCAAAGCAGAACAGGATGTTGATCATCATGAAGTGGGGAGAATCTTGGATAGTATATGGACTGAGGAAAAATCTGTCAGATAACGAAAAAAAGGAAGAAAATTTTAATAACGTAAATATTGAGGGGAATGTAATATTATTCTGCTCTGGAATTTTCAAGGATGACCTTATATTTTGATTGGCAATAAAAAATACCATTGGAAATTGCATTTTTTAGTGTTCATCCAAATTTCAATTAATATATCAGGAATCTCTATTACATTTTTACTCATTTGTACTGAAATTAATGTGTACGTCATTTTCGCCCGCTTTAGGAAAAAAAAGTTTTATTAATAAATGCATTTTTGAGGCTGTCAAAGAAAAATCTGATCGGAGAAAAAAGTCTGATAAAAAATACCAGATTATAGTACAATTCTTGACTCTGTGGGAACCCCAAGAGTTTTTACCGAATAGCTTTGGAAGTGATTTTGGTGAAATTAACTATAAAATATGGTTTCATAATATGGTGAATTTGACATAATTTGTTAATTTTTTTCATGATACCTTAGAACAGGGTATAAAAATCATTTATTTGTTTAAAATTTTTTCTCAGTTTTGCTTTTTTTACTAAATGTGTGGTAATATGAACTATAATTTTGATAACCAGAATTTCCGGTAAACCGTTATTACATGAACTGAAAAAACTACCAAATAAATGGTTTAAATACCATAACTTTTAGTTTTATCAATCAGAATTGTGCTTTTTATTTATTGTTAGAAATGTCATTACTACACAGTACGATGCTGTTACCAGAATTCTTTTCGTCGTGTATGTTCCAATGCGTGAAACAGCAAATAAGTCATCTACTGAAATATTTTCAAGTCACAAATAATTGTATCTCTGAAAATGCACTGTAGGGGATAGCATCAATAGCAAATTTAAAAGTTCAATAAAATGCTGAAACCGCCAGAAAACTTTTTAGCAGAGATTCTATAGATTCTAGCGCATCACAACTTCAAGCATAATAGCTTTTTGAGATGAAAGAGTTGTTTGAAGCCACAAAGAATAAAACTCATCCTACTTAGCCGCTTGTTCAGGTATATTTGATCCTACATTTAATTATTTATGTTCGCTCCTACGGAAACGAGAAAGAAACCAGGAGGAACTGTAAATAATGAATTACTTTAGGGATTTAAAAAAGATTGTGAGAATGAAAGAAAATTACGGAAATAGAGCTTTTTATGGGAAAGAATGGGAAGCATTTAAAATGTTGGAAAAATAAAACCTTGTACGGTTTATCTTGAATTCTTTCAGATTTTGCACGTTAAAAGGCTATTTTTTTGTTAAGAGAAGGTCATATAGTTATTTATTTCTCTAGATTTTGATAATTGTTTAAAAAATATTTTGATCTTAACATCTTTAGGTATTTATAGAAATTAGAATTTTTGTCTTTAAATCTTTAAAAATATATACCTTATATACCCACTATAAAAAATAGGTACTCAAATATCACAAAACTTCTTTGACGAAACTGTTTACTAGTACATCGTACGATGAAAAAATTTAGGCAAGGTGACGAAATAACTATCGTCACTTCTTCGAAGAAGAAGGAGAGTTTCTTCAAAATTAAAGAAATAATTCTTTATTCTGATTTTTTTCCAAATAAATAAATAAATAAACAAAAATAAAAATAAATAAAAACAAAAACCTATTAGTGCCTAAGGGGCCGTTCAAAAAGTGCGTACACAAAAATGGAGAAATTTTAACCCCTCCCCCTTCGTACATTACCGTACATAAGGTCTTACTCCCCCCCCTCAGAGTAGAGTTTATTCACTTAAATTATTTAAACACAATAACACCCAACTTTCACCTTGAATCAATAAATAAAACAATCTTATCTGATCAACATAATAATTTCCTACAATCAATACAATTAATCTACAGTATTTTCCCACGGATATTCCAAATACTTCTCGAGAGACACCAATTCAGCGTTACTCTTGCCTGCGACTGATGAAAAATTTAGATTATCTTCATCAACGAGATCATCTTCGAGATCATCTGCATCATCTTCGTTTTCCTGCTTTCGGATTATACCAGAAAAAGTTT